ACAGATGTGCCCGGAGCCGGAGGTTCTTTGTCCTCTTAGCTATTTCTTCGATGCTCTTGAAGACGTTCCAAGCCTCTTTTTTCCTCCTGCACAGCTCGGGTGCCAGGTCATTTGTCATGTTGACTTCTCGACCTAGGTACACATAACTGTTGCATTTGGAGATGGTCGTTCCGCTGAGAGCGAATGGAGCATCAGGAATGAGGCTGTTTCTCATAAACATTGTCTTCGTAAAATTCAGCTGTTGTCCGGACTTTCCACACTCATGGTCGAAGTCGGCCAGCATTTGTGCCGCTTGGCTGATGTTTGGTGTTATTAAAACAATGTCATCAGCAAAGCGGAGGTGGTGTAGTTGCTGACCATCTATCTTCACTCCCATTCCTTCCCATTCCTGTCGTCGCATGATGCTCTCGAGGTTGGCACTAAAGAGTTTTGGTGAAATGATATCACCCTGCCGAACCCCTCTCTTGACATTGATGATTACTACTTTGTAGAATGGTGAGATCCTGGTAGTGAATCCATAATACAGCTCACAGAGGATCCTGATGTATTGAGTTTGAATGCCCTGATTGGCTAGGGCTTCAATGACCACTTCCGTCTCAACAGAATCAAAGGCCTTCTTTAAATCAATGAACGTTAGACAGAGCGGCATCTTGTACTCCCGAGAAACCTCAATGAGCTTGGTTATTGTGTGGATATGGTCAATGGTGCTGAATCCTTTGCGGAACCTGGCTTGCTCGCATGGTTGTCCTTCATCTAGTGTTCTGCCAATCCTATTCAGGATGACTCGAGTGAACAACTTGTAGATGACAGACAATCGGCAGATCAGGCGATAGTTGTTAGACTATAGTTGATAGACTATAGTTGATAGTTGATAGACTGTTCTCCCTTCCGAAATCCGACACGTCATTTCATCAGTAAAGAAACAAATAGCACCCGGCCCAGACAAGGTCAGACCTGAACACCTGAAGAACCTGCCGTCAGTACTCATCAATCCGCTGGCTCGGCTCTTCACATGCAACCTGTCTGAATGCAAGGTTCCGTCCCAATGGAAAACCAGCAGGACTGTACTACTGTTCAAGAAGGGAGACATCCATGACATTGGCAATTATCGCCCGATCTGCCTATTGTCTGTCATCTACAATGAAGCTTCATCTTTTGTATATCAGAGTCAGTACTTTTTTTCAGATATGGAATATTTTCCAATGAAACTTGAAAAATTAGTATGTTTAAGGCACTGTGTTCCTAGGGCCCCAGTAACAACAAGTAGCTGGGTTTAAATTATTAGTTATTATTATTATTATTATTATTGCTTTTTTGGGTAACACCCAGCAATGCATAAGGGTTATTCCTGGCTCATGCACTCAGGAATTAATCGTAGTGGTGCTCGGGGGACCATTGGATGCTAGGAATCGAACCTGTGTCAGCTGTGTGCAAGGTAAATGCTCCAGCACCATGTTTTATTAATTTCTTTTTATTAAACCACTGTGAGATACACAATTACAAGGTTGTTCATGATTGGGTTTCAATCATACAATGTTTCAACATTTGTGCCTTCTTATGTTTCCTACCACCCATATTTCCAGTTTCCCTCCTTCTACCCTTCCACCCCCAGTTTGCCTCTATAGCAGCCCCTTTTCTTCTCTCTCTCTCTCTCTCTCTCTCTCCTTTTGGACATCATGGTTTGTAGTACAGGTACTGAAAGGTTATCATGTGTATACCTTTATCTACTTTCAGCACTCAGTTCTTATCCAGAATGATCATTTCCATTGTGATCATTATTATAGTGGTCCCTTCTCTATGCTAACTGCCCTCACCCCCCCCCCCCCCCCCACACACACACACACCCTACTTGTGTTAAGTTTCCAGCCATGGGCCAGTCCTCCTAGCCTTCGTTTCTACTGTCCTTGGGTATTAGTCTCATACTATGCTTTTTATATTCCACAAATGAGTGCAATCATTCAATGTATGTCCCTCTCCCTCTGATTCATTTTGCTCAGCATGATACTCTCCATGGCCATCCATTTGTAAGCAAATTTCATGACTTCATTTTTCTGGGTGGCTACACAGAATTCATTGTGTAGATGTACCATAGTTTCTTTACCCAGTCTTCTGTTCTTAGGCTCTCGGGTTGTTTCCACATTCTGGCTATTGTGAATAGTCCTGAATGTGCGTGCTTAAATCTGCATCATTACTGTGCCCCCAGGTTTAATTCTGCATCATTACTGTGTGCAGTGCCGAACACACTGCCCAGTGTCCATTCTTCCTCCTGCTCTTTCTGAGCTTTAGCAGGGCTGTGAGTGCCCAGCAAGGGAAGTTCTAGCTCCTTCAGTGGCAAGGAACAGTCACATGACTACAGTTTTCACTGTTTGGCGTATGCGCAGAAGTGAGTGGTAGAGATTTTAGGACTCATCCTTTGAAAGGAAGCTCTCTGGCCTCTCCTTCTTCTCCCCATCTCTGCCAGCTAAAGGCAGGTGTGACAATGGGAAATGGCCAATCATGGAGTCAAGGACAGGACAAATGCCCTCTAACTTTGATATGCATTTCATTCAGGAGAACTCTTTAAGGCCCAGATCACTAAGTCCCTGTGCAGAAATTCTGGTTCAGAAGGTCTGAACATCTCTAGCAACTTTCCATGCGATGTTAATCGTGTGGTTAGGAACATTCTTCAAAACAACTACTTCTGGGATGGTAGAAGTACCATCTGGGCAGAAAGAAGGAATCTGGATTTCTGAATTACCTTGTGAAATAAATCTCTCATCTGGACTGCTCATTCACTTTAGAGAGAGAAAAAAATATTTTTTGGTTCCTGAACAAAATTGATAGCAACTAAAGAAACCAGATCAAATCCAAGCTAAAGATCCCATTTATCTGCAGTATATAATAGAGACAAAACAAGGGCAGAGACAGAACTAAATAATGGCAAACCTTGGTCTTGGATCACAAAACTCAACCACCAAGCAGTGGAGGGAGGGATAGGGAGGATGAAGAAGCAGACTAGTGTGGCATGGGGACAGTGTGGATGGTAGTTGGGGTATTCAAAGAGAAAGGGACGTTGAAACAGTGAAAAAGAGACCTTCTGCTAGGAAAGGTAGTGAGATATGAAAAGGACGTGCTGTTCAGAGGGAGTTTTTACTAGGATCTGGTGAAATGAGTATTTTGGTAAGACCAAGGGAAAGCCACCAGCAGAGTACAGGGACTGGAGATGCATCAGTAGCAGGTGGTTGATGGACCAAGTACTGCTGGGACTGGAGGAAGAGTTGCCAGTAAAAATTACTTACTGTTTCACATAGGAAACAAACCAAAAAGGATAGTCTTAGAGTTACCGATTCAATAAGGATTACTGAAGATTTTCTACATGTCAGGTTCTGAAAAAAAAAAACCGGGGGGGGGGGGGCAGAATCATATCCCAATTCGGCCTTTGCCAGGTGAGGCAGACTTTTTTGCAAAGGTATGACTAGAAGGTTTTGGGATTGCCCTTCAGGGACTCTGCTCACGGCACGGAGGATGTGGGCTTCATATAGCCCTGCACTGTGAGAGGAAGCTTCCATCTTTACAGCAGGTTTGAACTCTAATAACTAGAGTTCAAACTAGAGTTCAGTTCTCTTGTGCTGTTGATAAACTCAAAAATGAAAGACAATAGCAGCGACAATAGGGAAACGACGATGACATATTTTTTGTAAGATCTTCATAATGTGGCAGCTGAATCTCCAACTTCTGAAGAGGAAATCTCTGGTTCTTCTTTCTAATCCTCCAATTCAATTCAATCCCCAATTCAGTTTAAAGGAATTTAACTCATTGAAGGTGTGTTTAACCCTTGGTGAAAGTTCTTAACAGTCATTTAATTAACACTGTTTTGATTTTGTTTTTGTTTTAGGGGAGAGAGCAAAGTAGAGGAAACTCAGTTACTGATCCATCCTGAAATGTTGGCCTCAAGGACAGACTGGAAAGGGCTCCCAACAAATGACTTGGAAATACATTCATTACGCGGTAGATACAGGAGGTGTATTTCCAGTGTCAGACAGAGGAAGGAGAAATGCTAAATTTTCACAGGGGGATTCATAGCTAGGTATGCCGAAAGGGGTCTTAGAAGTCAGTAGGTGGAAACTTATTTGACAAGATGAAAAAAGTGTATCACAAGACCAGTTAGTAGCTGTTCAGATTATATACCCCAGGGGTTCCCAAAACCACATCTAGCATGGTATTTCCTTTTATTCTAATATCACCACATTCACCATAATCTTGGGTAATGGAAGAATGTCTTTTGCCCCCCCCCCAAAAAAAAAAATCCTTTGAGGAAAAGATAAATGAGTGCTTGCACCAAAGAATATAACAGTCTGCAAACCTTGTTCTAAAACTACCCAGATCAAAAGGAACAACGTGAAGTCATTTTTGTCATTTCTGTTTTGGATTATTTTGGTCTCTCGCACTTCTGACATCGCCTTTTCTCCTTTAGCCTACTGATCATTTCATTTCCACCCTCTCACCATTTCATGATTGGAAAATAAGCAATTCTGTAAAGGAGCTTGGTGATGAATAGAAACGGAATTTGAATTTTAGGATGTTCCATGGATACCTTCTCATGTCCCATTTTACCAAAGAAAATGAATTTCAATAAGAATAATATGGTTTACTTCTGGATTCTGGGAATATATTTGTCCTTCAGAAAAAAGCACTAAAGAGAGGAGAGAGAAATGATGCAGGATGGAAAAGAAGATTGAGAGAAAAAAAAGAGAGAGAAAAGACGGAGGAACTTGTTAATTGCAAGACTCCCAGAGCAAGGTATTTTTCTTTGCTTCACAAGTTAGAAGCTGTTGAATAATTCATGCCAAGCGTGGAAAGGCTGCCTTTTCCCTGGGTGATGTAGAACAGCAGGAGAGAGCTTCGAGTGGGTTCACCGCACCAACCACCACTCTCAGTTCGCTCCTGAGCGCAGGGTGCGCTCCTCAGCCGGCGTCTGCTTTCAGCATCCCGCTGCTGCCTTTGCCGCTGCCGCTGCTCGCCCCAGTGGTCTAGGCTTGCAAGCTTTCTACTTTCCTCCTCCTAGCCCTGCTGCCAGCTGAGGAGTCTCTCTGCAGCTGCTGCTGGCTTCTGCCTGGGACCATGTGCTTGGCTACTGCTGGGAAGAAACAGACTTGCTCCTGGTACTCATCTCAGATGAGTTTCTCCTGTTGATTTTGGGATCGCAGATGCTGCTCCTAAGGAAGTATTTCCTGGCATCCCTCCATCACCTACGGCCAGCTAAGGACCATCCCCAAAGTAAGGCACCCCCAAACCTTTCCCCAACCCCCATCCTTCTTATCTGGTGATATTTCTGCTTTCCCCAAGAAACTAGGGATTCCATTTGGTAATATTTCTCTCTCTCTCTCTCTCTCTCTCTCTCTCTCTCTCTCTCTCTCTCTCTCTCTCTGTCATTTTCTCTCTCTCTCTCTCTCTCTCTCTCTCTCTCTCTCTCTCTCTCTGTGTTAGGGGCTGAAGAGGGGGCTTTTCTTGGCATCCCTCTGTCCTAGGGCTTCCCTGGTTCCTGCGGATTGCTCAGAGGCCTTTGCCCGGCCCTGGAGACATTTCCCCTGCAGGCACCTGTCATCTACCACCCCCGTTCTCCCTGCGCTCCCCGCCCCCCCAGCCCGGCACTCTGCTTCAGCCTTTTGTGTCGGTGGCAGACGGTTGAAGGGATGTCTTTGCCCTCCCGGCAGGCGGGCATCAGGATGGGCCGCGCTGCGAGGAGCCGACACTAGTGTGCGAGGTGTGAAGAGTTGGCCAGGATGACCAACTCCTCCTCCACGTCCACGTCCTCCACCACCGGTGGGTCGCTGCTGCTGCTCTGCGAGGAAGAGGAGTCGTGGGCGGGCCGCCGCATCCCCGTGTCCCTCCTGTACTCGGGCCTGGCCATCGGGGGCACGCTGGCCAACGGCATGGTCATCTATCTCGTGTCGTCCTTCCGAAAGCTGCAGACCACCAGCAACGCCTTCATCGTCAACGGCTGCGCCGCCGACCTGAGCGTGTGCGCGCTCTGGATGCCGCAGGAGGCTGTGCTGGGGCTGCTGCCCGCGGGCTCCGCCGAGCCCCCGGGGGACTGGGACGGCGCAGGGGGCAGCTACCGCCTGCTGCGCGGCGGGCTGCTGGGGCTCGGCCTCACCGTGTCCCTCCTGTCCCACTGCCTGGTGGCGCTCAACCGCTACCTGCTCATCACGCGGGCGCCCGCCACCTACCAGGCGCTGTACCAGCGGCGCCACACGGCGGGCATGCTGGCCCTGTCCTGGGCGCTGGCGTTGGGCCTCGTGCTGCTGCTGCCGCCCTGGGCGCCCCGGCCGGGAGCGGCGCCCCCGCGCGTCCACTACCCGGCGCTGCTGGCGGCCGCGGCGCTGCTGGCCCAGACGGCGCTGCTGCTGCACTGCTACCTGGGCATCGTGCGCCGCGTGCGCGTCAGCGTCAAGCGGGTGAGCGTCCTCAACTTCCACCTGCTGCACCAGCTGCCCGGCTGCGCCGCCGCCGCCGCCGCTTTCCCGGGGGCCCCGCACGCGCCCGGCCCGGGGGGCGCCGCGCACCCACCGCCGGCCCAGCCCCTGCCCCCCACGTTGCACCCGCGGCGCTCGCAGCGGCGGCTCAGCGGCCTGTCGGTGCTGCTGCTGTGCTGCGTCTTCCTGCTGGCCACGCAGCCGCTTGTGTGGGTGAGCCTGGTGAGCGGCTTCTCGCTGCCCGTGCCCTGGGGCGTGCAGGCGGCCAGCTGGCTCCTGTGCTGCGCCCTGTCGGCGCTCAACCCGCTGCTGTACACCTGGAGGAACGAGGAGTTCCGCCGCTCCGTGCGCTCCGTCCTGCCCGGCGTCGGGGACGCGGCCGCCGCCGCCGTGGCCGCGACCGCGGTGCCCGCCGTGTCCCAGGCGCAGCTGGGCACCCGCGCCGCTGGCCAGCACTGGTGACCCGCGGCGGACGGAGATTCTGGGCTTCCAGCGTGTGTGGCCGGCTGCGTCCCCCACCTGCCCCCTGCCCTCCAGCCCCTGCCCCGGCTGGGATGCCCGCAGCCCATCCACCTGCGCCGAGGTGTCGGCCTCCACCCGAGCGGGATGCTGGAACGCCGGGCTCTCCTCCAACCGGCTGCCGGTCCCAAAGCGTTTTCGACGGCCACCTGATGTGTAGCCTCTGTTTCTGTGGTTTAGAGAAACCCAACACACTAGCCCACACTCCAGAGACGTCAAGAACTTGCAAATTGGCACTTTAAAAAGAACTCGCGAATTAATTTCGACACGTTTTTGAATAAGGCGTTGGACAACGTATGACCATTCCCACCTTCATCGTCTTTTCTATGACGCGCCACGAGTGTGCATGAGCCAAAGGAAGGGATGTGGATGAAGGAAACTACTTAAGAAATACACTTGGAAAGGAACCCGTGTTTGATGATGCTTTTGTTATTTTAACCTTTGGATTGACCAAGCCACAGATGCGCACATCAATATGAATTGTCAGTAAGACCCTCAAGCCCTTTATTCTTAAAAGGGCTTTTAAAAAAAAAGAAAAATTAATTCCCGAATGCTGTGTAAGATAGAATATTAGCCTGTAAGGCGAGCGGTGGAAACCCCACCGAATTACTATTTTACATTCCTCTTTCCACTTCTAAGACTGAAAATTAGCACTGGTTGTTAAACTGGAAAATTTCCAGTCTGCTTATTGACGGCCGGAGACAGCAATGGAATTGTAAAAACACATACGGGGTTATCTATAGTAGGTTCCAGCTTCACTCTTTCCTGTAGCATGCACACTTGTTGCTATCCTCATTTTGTAATCAATTTCTCTTCCTTATGAGTGTGATTGCAAGCTTTGAACATTTTTGTACTATAATGGTTGCTAAGGAGAATAAGTCTTTGTGTTTTCTCTTTGACATTTAAAATATCTCAATGCACATGATATAATTGAACACTGATAATACCATGAATACATAGCTAAGTATTAGCTGCTATTGCATGCTCCTAGATGCTAGAACTTATTGGGCATGTGGTATACTAAAGCAATACCCGTTACCAAGGACATTTTACATTTTTTTTAGACACCAGAAGAAACTGCTTTCAATTATTTGAAAAGAGACACAGAGACACTTCTGGCTACCTAGTGTTCTTCTTGTCTTGGCCCAATTTATGAAATAAAAACTTCCAGCTGGGAATATGTGATGAAATGGAACAGAAGTCAAGATGGAGCAGAAATATGATTTGGCTCTGCAAAGCCATCTGTGTGCTCTTTTAGGATTTAGACAAGCCATATATTAGAAAGCAACACTGTTTTTTTTTAATGTAGTACGTATATATTATTGTGACATTTGACATTAATATCCTGGTTAAAGGAGGATTGGTAAACTCAGTTAAACATAATTGAATAGCACAAATGAGGATCTGTTCTTAAATGTACAGTTTGAGGCTTGTCATATTCATCTTGGGTTTACTCTATTTAGAGTCAAAATATAAACCATGTGTAATTACCTTATAAAATTGAAATCAGAAGAAAAATTTTAAAAATTATCATCAATCAGTTTTCTGACTGCCAACTATAAAATCTAAGATCAAACAGTCTCAGTGAATTGTGACATTCATGAACAAAACCAGCTTGCTTTGTTTCACCTATGGACATTTAAAACTATAGTAGGAAGCCTCATGAATTTGAATAATTATGGATTTTGCAGGAAATTTGACACATTTATTGTAAAGCAAAATAAAGCAAATATGTTCATTACCAATAATAGCTCAGCCGTCATTTTATTAATCCCTGCTTTGCATGCACATTTCTTTCACTAAGGTTTCACAGAGTCCCATTTTCCTTGAAACAAATATTTAATTAAAATTCAGATAACTGTTTCTCTGAGTTTTTTTCCCTCCTGGCTTACTTGTATGCCTTTTTGAGAATGCTGTGGCACTGATAACCGTACTTGAAAGCGCCAGTGAATAAGTAACTTCTTTTTCTGACTTCATTTAATTTAATTTTTAGCTTATTTAACCTTATATAAATAAGGCCCTTCTGAAAGCAATTATAAGAAACTGATATTTTCTTTCTGTAAGCATAATTCATTTGGGGAGTGGGCTGCAATCAGTAGAGCTAAAAAATTTTCTTTTGATCAAGTAGAAGGCAATTTTTGAAATCTCTCATGGAGGACGTATTCTTTCGAAAAAGGCTTTATCCTTGTTTCTCTTGGTGAATGTGGCATAAAATTTCTCCTGTTGTTCCTCTAAAATACCATTTACTACACCTGTAAAAATAGTTTTTCAAGAACATAATAAGCCCGCTATTTTGCAATGTTTCTGACAAACATGGGAACCATTTTATGCTGGCACCATGCCAGGTCAGAGACCTACTTTAGGATATATTTACTGATAATTAACTCCACAGGACTGATTTGCTTTTAATTTTAATATTGCAATGATGTGTCTAAAAACGGCTTAGTAGGGCAATGACTGCGAGTGTTGAAGTTACTGCCTTTAACAAATTATGTTAATGGAGATTGTGTTCTTATTTAAATGAAACCACATATTATCCACTCAGGAATAAGAAACCCTAATTGCTGTCGTGGGATGCCCTACTTTGCATTTTCTTCTCTATCTTCTCTTTAGGAAGATGCTCGTTAAGACATATTAACCATCAGCACACACACCCACCCTGCCCGACACACACACACGTACACACTTTCATTTTAATAGCTAAATTCTATGATGTAATGGGCATCACTCCTAGTATTTCCCTCCTTCTAACATGAAGTGTAGGCATACATAGAAATTCTGGCTTCCGTTTGTTTGTTTTTTAGGCACCCAGCCAGTGGTTTTGATGATCAAGGTCTCAGAATTGGGGGGAAAGATCTCTACACAACGGAGGGATTACTGTTTACAGGTGTACGGAGTGAGGCTGAGAAGGGGAGGAAGGGACTTAACTATCTAATGGATAAAGGTCTTGGAAATATTTTCTCTCAAAGGAGTATTTCCTGCTTTATCATCCTATTCTTCTGAGGAAAACTATATGGGCCACTGTTTGAAATAAATTCATTGTTGCAAGTCTAACCTTTATTCTGTTCTATGAGTGACTTACAGTTTTCTGGTTCTTGAACTGTCGCTTGAGTTGACCCAACACAGGACAAATATAAATGCAAGATATTGAGAAAGGTTGGAGATGTCCCTGACCTTCAGGAGAAACTGCCTTTCGTGTTTGTGAGTTGTGGGGCCAACTTCAAATGGGAGGTGTGGGTCTGCAGAAGCAAAAGAGTACCTTTTTGATTGTTGTTCGTTTGGGGCTGGAGTGATAGCACAGTGGGTAGGGCGTTTGCCTTGCACGGGGCCAACACGGCTAACCCGAGTCGATTCCTCCGCCCCTCTCGGAAAACCCGGCAAGCTACCAAGAGTATCTCGCCTGCTCAGCAAAGCCTGGCAAGCTACCTTTGACATATTAGATATGCCATACACAGTAACAAGTCTGACAATGTTACTGGGCCCGCTCAAGCAAATCGATGAACAATGGGAGGATAGTGACAGTGACAGTTCTTTCTAAAGCACCTACCCAGTGGTGCTCAGGAGCTACTCCCAGTTCTGTGCTCATTGGTTGTTTCCAGCAGCTATTAGTGGTGTCAGGGATCAAATCTGAGCGTCCATCATACAAAGTTTATGTTCCAGAATATTGAACTGTATCTTCGGTTCTATTAATACTTCTGCTCTCCCCTTCTGCTTTTCCTCACTGTCCCTCTCAACAGGGACATGTTTGGACTCTGTCCCCATGCAATACCCTTCCATAATTGCTTCACAACTAGCAACCTACCACAGCCCTTACATCAGGGACATAGGATCACCCCACCCCCCGCTTTTTTTGGCTTTTTGGGTCACACCCGGAGATGCTCAGGGGTTACTCCTGTCTCTGCACTCAGGAATGACTCCTGGCGGTGCTCAGGGGACCATATGGGATGCCGAGGATTGAACCCAGATTAGCTGCATGCAGGGCAAATGCCTTACCCGCTGTGCTATTGCTCCAGCCCCACAGGATACCCTTAAAGTTGGCCTTCAGCAGTTGGACTTCATTTACCCATTCCTGTTGTGATGGACGTGGTTCCTTGGGATGCCTTTCCCTCAGGCAAGGGATAAGGGACCAGGAGTGGTTGAGAAGCCGTGTGGGAGCAGAGGCCCAGGATGAAACCAGGCCCTCTCACTGTGGAGGGTAGTACAGCTTCTACTTAGGGACCCCTCAGGAATCTATCCCAAGCTCTTTTTCTCTACAGGGACCCCTTGACAAGGCTGTGCAAAGGATTTCCCCAAACACTTATCCTCATTGGGCTCCAATCTAGAGAAGGAGGATGAAATGGGAAGGGTGTTGCTGAGAAAGACAGGTTAGATGTCGAAGGAAGTTGTGGGGAAATCATGGATTCCTATGGATATAGATCATAGTTCCTTTATTTGTGTGCATCTTTGAAATCTCTCATAATGAGAACTTATCCAGCTCATCTTTTGGCTATTCTTTTTAGACTGAAAGTAATTTTGAATCCTTACTAGTAGAAATTAGGCTTAGTTTTTAGTTTCCACACCCTCCCTGCTTCCCCTGCCCCCCACCAGTCTAATACTCCTCCCGCTCTTTTCTATTCCGAAGGAATAAAAATTTATGGGGATTTCTTTGATCGCTCTGGTTAACAGAGTCTCTGCTTTTAGTCAAAAAATTTTAATAGAAATAAAAAGAAAAGAAAAGAAAAAGCCTAGTCAATGTATTTAAGATGGTGTAGCTGTTAAATGGAAGAGATGGAATTCAAACCTTTTATCTGACCCCAGAGCAGGGGATAGTAACTACTGATTTTTATCAGAAATGGTCATTGTTTTTCCCTCCATGTGATCATTTCCCATATAAATCTTTCTCTTTAGTCTAGTGGTCTGTACCTTACCTCCTAAACAAGGCTCAATTTCTGCACTCAAGATCTTCCTGGAGTCCCATTGTTTCTGTCACC